TCCGACAGGCCTGGGGCTAAAGAACTGTTGCCCCCCGTCTCGAATTGGTATGACTGTTGTGTTTTTAATCATGCATCGTTTTTATGTCATTTTTAAATTATTGTTTGTATCCCCCTTCCCTGGTTGAGTTGTGAGCCGCCCTGAGTCCCCTTCGGGGGAAAAGGACGGCATATAAATAAAATCAACATTCAACAACATTTAACATTCTATCATGTTGAAATTGCTTTCAAACAGTTTATTGGCACTTGCTAACAGGTAGATTTTACTAATACCGTAATCAAGGACTATAACCAAGAATCTGAGCTTCTGCCGCTACACCAATCAGCAAACCGAATAAAATTCCATAAATAATTATTACAAAGTTTCTCAGTGATAGATTATAGCAGGTGACACCAATTCCAAACTTGGGGGGGAAGAAACTGGGATCCTGGATTCATTCCAGGTTCATACAGAATATCATGGGATCTTAATACTTGCTCCGAATAAATTGGGTATTGTCCCTTAAGTTTTCTCAGACTCCTACACTCTATGGCAGCTGGGCACAGCAGAAAAGCTGATGTGACAATGACAAAAAAGCCCTTGAACATAAAAACCTTTGAAGCCACAATTCCATCTTATGCAACAAATTTAAGGATTATTTAATATTCAAGAGTTATTGGTCAACTTCAAACTATTCGCTTAAAACTGCTGTTCTGGATTGTGTAGGCTAGGGAATTCTGGGAATTGAAATCTATGCATCACATAGTTGCTGAAAAACAGTGCTGAGATGCTAATAATCTGGAGGCCAAGATTTACCAGGAAACGAAAAATGAAATCTACCCCTCTCGTGAATTTGTACAATCAGTGGCGGAGGGAGAGGCCCTAAAGGACACATTCACCAACTTGTCTCCTGAAGACACATAAATAAATCATGAGTCAAAGCTCAGTGCATGAGGTCACAAGCTGGTATAATAGCACATTACTATTTATAAGACTCTTGCACGCTCTGCCTGCAACCCAACTGGTTTAATAAAGAGAGTTAGATCAAGCTGTCATGCAATGTTGGGCATTTTCTACCACGACTGAAAAATTACCATAAAAACCCGAAAAAAAACGAAGAAAAAGTCTTCAGTTATCTGACAAACTACAGCCATGAACTAAGGAACTGGAAATTAACCAAACGAGATTTAGATTTCTTTCCCCATCCTCTTAAAGCCACGTGACTGCTACTACAAGGAATTGCTAAAAAAAAAAGTCAAGGGCAACTTTCAAAAGCTGTTTGTGATAATTTGCTGGATCAAATGAGAGTGTAAAATAATTCCTCAGAGGTTGTGGAAGCAAGCAGTGGATGATGGGCCATGCTCATCTTGACTCAAAGCAGCAATACAAGGAAAGCTGCAGTTTGGGGGGGGGGGGGAAGGATGCATCAAAGCGCATCCAAAAATATAGGTCAATACAGTTGTCAGAATTCTCTGCATCATTACAGTCATATTTTGTTACTACATCTGTGATCAAAATCCAGTTTGTTACCTTCATCAATATACCATGTATTTTTTGATTTTGACTGAGAATCTACTGAGGAGCCATTTAAAGCGTAGAAAAATTCTGTTCTGTTTCTGTTTCCAGGATCAGAGAGTGCACCTGAAAAAGAGGCCATGTCAGAAAGGAAGAATATATACAAGTAAGCTTTGATGTTCTTAGAAAAGTCTGCATCAGAACTGTATGACTTTTATGGAAGACACACCACTGCTGGTTGTCTGGTCCAATCACTTCAACGCTGCATGATCTCATGCGGTCCCAACCCTTTAAACCGAACAACTCTGTTCTCAGTTTACATCTCAAGCTATGCACATAGTAACTTTTAGAAAACAAAGCTACATCAGGTAAACATTCTGCTTAAGATTAATGAAACTGTTTTCTCAATAATGTCCGTAAAATTAATACCACATACGGATCAGTGATTTTAGACTTAATATCTTAGAAGGAATGAACTTCAGTAGATTATTTAAAATTACATGCCACCAAATCCCAAAAACTCTTGACTCATATACATCCTTTGAACATGTGAAATATGGACTGTTAAGCTGTAATCGTTGTAATCTTAATATGCAAGGCAGAAACTGTCTAAATTGTCTTGTTCAGCAGACTAGAAAGATCCACCGGTTGAGAATGGTGCAACCAGAATCTCTTCACAGATTGCTCCACATAAATTGGGATAATCCTAGAAATATGCACCTATGCAAAGGTTCTTATGATTCCTGCTGCAATTTGGACATCCTTTTACAATACATCTAACTCTTCAACGTAAACCCCTCTTCTTGCTGCTATTGTACAGATCACATTTGCAAGTGAGGAGCATTTTGGCTCCTTGTATTCCACTTGAAGGATCAAGCACAGGAAATTCAAGCAGTGAATCCAGAGGGTTCAATGGAAAATGAATTTATCCATTTCCATTCCTCCTTCCCTCCCTCCCTCCCTCCCTCTCTCTCTCTCTCCTCTATCTTTCCTCTCTGTCTTCCCTCTCTATCTGTCTATATCTATCTCACTCATCTATCATCCAACCATCCTAGAAAGTCCTTTAAGTATCACTCAAAGAGCTCCAATCATAACTGGTGCAGTAACACATTTATTTTTCCATATATATGGAGAGCAATTAAAGATGCTGATATGTTCAAATCTTTATAAGGAACACAATAAAGTACACATTAAATATCTTCACTGATGTTGATGGAGAGACCGTTTTAGTAGTCACACTTGCTTTTGAATAGCAACATGGGGGGATTGCACTGTGGCGATCCTCATTTAACACTCTAAGTTTTACTGAAATGTCAAGTCAAAGTACCTGTAGATTTTGGTTTGCTATGACCAAAACCTTTCTCACCACCACCTCTGGAAGTATAAGCGAGTTTGGGAGCTCTCCTGTCCTGAGACACGGCCTCTAAAACAGAGCAGAGTTTAGATATTTCACAAAAGATAAGAGCACCCTATACAACAATGCAATGCGTTAGTTTCAAAACATTAATCAAAAATAGGAGACACATTAGACATTCCTCAGGAGGGCTGAAAGTCCTGACATACAAGATTTTACATGTAGAGATAAGCCGAATAGTAACATGATGCCTCCATTATAATACCTGTCATAATGAAACTATAATATCAACTACCATTATCCAGGAACAATGTGTAAGTTTGTTTGTTTTTTTTAAAACGGTTAATGATTAAATATTAAATAAGAACTTTCTCAGTTGGCCATTGTTGGAACAGTTTGCCAGTCTAAATAAATCTTTATACTTTATTTAGCAATTCTAATGCTTTCTTACACCTATCTGCATCTCACACTTCAACACTGGCAGTTTTTAAGATGTTGGGTAACCATTTGTCTGAAGTGGTATAGGGTTTCCTGCCTAAGCAGAGGGTTGGACTAGAAGACCTCCAAGGTCCCTTCCAACTCTGTTGTTCTGTTTTCATCTCTCTCAAATTCAGCCAAAGGTTCAATTTACACCTACAAAGCTTCTGTCTTTGTCCTGACGAAGCCAAAAGGTAAGTCTCCTAATCCAGCTGTACTTTCCCTAGAAATGTATGAGCTGCTGGTTCCAAAGGCTGCTCGCATATTTCAGTTTCCTTGGCAATGCAGCCAACTAAATAGTTCCATCGCCAATGTCAAGTTTGAAAAACCATAGAGCTGTCTAGTAACATAAGATTCTATGGTTTCTTGCTAAGCAAGTCAGCTAATCTCAGTAGATCCTGTCCAAGTCACTATATTCCTCCAGTGGAAGCAGTTGACTCATGCATGCAGCACAGGGGTTACAGTATTATTAAAGCTTTGTGAATAGAAAAACTGGCACTCTAATAATATGGAGAAAAGAACAGATTGCCTGTGGTGACGAACCCTTCTCACAAACATCAATTCTTTGATCAGAGCATATGTGGGCATCATTTGAACATATTCTTTTTAAAGAAAGTGTAAGGAAACAATCCCATCATCTAATACACAAACGCTGTACAAAAAAAACAAACAGAATCACCTGGAGAGACCTTTTGCATTGTTTCTTACAGGTTTTTAAGTGTTCTTAACTAGCCTTTAAATCATTATGCATAATTACTCACGAATGTGAACTGCAGCCGCATCATTTCCATTCAACGCTGTTCTAGTTCCCTAGCCCACACACTATCCTACTAAACAAAGCCAAATTCTGAAGTAGAAAATTCACTTCCAGATAATGGGACTTTCAGCCCTCAAGCTTTATCACCTAGAAATAGTTGTGAAGGCCAGCATCCTATTAAGACAAATATAATTGGCTTACAAACAGTTCCTTTAGTGACTGTTCAAAGTTACCAGGGCATTAAAAAAAAATGATGGTTTTTCACTAACTGTTGCAGCATCCCTATGGTCACGTGATCAAAATCCAGTGTCTCAGGGTCATGTGACCCACCTTTTGTGATTTTCTGACAAGCAAAGTCAATGGATTCATTTAACAACCATGATACTAACTTAGCAACTGCAGTGATCACTGAATAACTGTGTGGCAAGAATGGACGTAAAAAGGGGCAGGACTCACTTAACATCTGTCTCACTTAGGAACATAAATTTTGGGATCAATTGTGGTCATAAGTCACGGACTACCTGTAATGCATTGTTGTAGCACTTCTGAATGAGTTTATGAAACAAAATACATGACATTTTAATGATTCTGAAAACATTTCCAGAATCAAAAGGAAATGCACATTACCAAAAGAAAACACACACACACACACCAACGCCAAGTAATATAGTAGATACTGAAACATCTACTTTAAGAATGAACTGCAAAAGGCCAAATTTTAAGCAAATCTAAAACTAGAACCAGACATTAATCAACCTGCTAAAATCTGGAAACTCTTCTCAAAATCAAAATAAAATATTACCTGGGATAACATCATTGATATGCAAAAGAAGCGTGCTTTCAACACTTGCAAAACTACAGAGCTGTTGTCCATTGTATCTTCCATCCCAATTTCCAATTGGATTATCCTAAAAAGCATTTTATAACATGTTTATCCTTATAGCCCAAGAGAACAGCTGAATGCATTCAAGAAAACCAGGATGTTACTAAAATTTGCAAAGGCTATGCAAAGCTAAGGTTGAAAGCACAAACCATCACACACAAAAAGGCAGATTCTTGTAATGCTGGCAACCCACCTCTCGCAGACAGAAACACAATTTGTCTACTAATAATCATATGTCAGAGTTAAGAAAAAAAACTGCCAATTACTGAGGTACAAAGCCCAGTTTGTAAGCAATTAGAGAACTTACACAAATATAGCCATTCTCATTGGTTACTGAGAAAATAGAAAGGTTGAGGAGAAAGTTAACTGTTAGGATCTTTCATAGTTCTAAGTGGAACCAAGTGAGGCTATGCAAGCACAACCCATTATATTCAATGTGCAAACAGCATATTGCCACATCAAATACCTATGCATATTTTGCCAAGTAGAACATTTGATTTCAGTATTTCTACTTCAAAACTATTGTATGTCTTCCAATTATAGAATCAAATTTCAGGACAAAGGTGAGGAACAGGAAGTATTACTGAAGTGCTCTTGAGCATTACAAATGGAGAGGTTCAAATTCATACCGAAGAGTCTTTTTATAGCCCTTAAAGAGACTAACGCTGACATACGTCACCATTTTTCTCAGAAAAGAACGGAGTTCAATAAAACATGCTTATCATTAGAATCAAGGACAAGATTTTTTGGCAACTTGGCAAGTCATTTTGAACAATCAGTAAAGCCCGTTAAACTCATATGTAATCTTGTTCACTGTTTGTTGTCCAACAAAGTAATACTGTACTGTAAGATTCAAACGCCCTAGAGAAGATTCTCTGTTACTATGCTGCAATCCAAGAAGCATGATTATCCTCCCCAAAAGCAAATTAACATACATTTTATCTGATGCTAAAAATATACTAGAGTGATTTACACATGGCAACAACCGCCATTAAGTAGCTTTCAAGGATCCCACCCACCAGCAATATTGCATGTACTACTTTAAACACACATGCAAAAAAATCATAAAAATCTTGGTTTCTTACCATGTCCACTCCAACAATGTATCCTAAACTCTCGTTTCCCGGTATGACATCACAGAATATAACTGTCCCATACTCTATATTCTTCCCTATCTTCACAGAAACCCTGGAGTTGAGCTCCAAAGGAGGAAGGTCTACCTGCATTGAGTCAACTGGAGCTGCATAGTCATTCTCCAGCTCATTGTCATCATCTTCCATCAGTTCTAGTTTGTCTAGTGCAACAAACACTCCACAGTCCTCATCACATCTGAACAGCTGTTTGCCTTGGTACTGTCCATCAGTAAAGCCCTGACCACGACCTTCTTCCTGTGTTTACAAAAAAGGGAAAGATGAAAATGAATGGTGAAGTTCGGCCAAAGGTTCATTAACCTTCACAGAAATTCCAACTCACGGGAAGAGCCGAGGTGGTGCAGTGGTTAAATGCAGCACTGCAGGCTACTGCTAGATCAGCAGTTCAGCAGTTCAAATCTCACCGGCTCAGGGTTGACTCAGCCTTCCATCCTTCCGAGGTGGGTAAAATGAGGACCCAGATTGTTGGGGGCGATATGCTGACTCTCTGTAAACCGCTTAGAGAGGGCTGAAAGCCCTATGAAGCGGTATATAAGTCTAACTGCTATTGCTATCTTAAGATTAGGGAGGCCTGTTTCACAGCAGTATGCTGAACTGCCATAAATCAGTTTATTTTTAGCTCAACAAACTGCAGGAATCCAGCAAATGATAAAATTGAAATTTATGCAAAGATATTCATTCATGTCTGGCATGCAGACATTCTCTCAACTTCAGCTACGTTGCAAGGATAAAATGGTGGGGATAAAACATCCCCCACCATCCTTCAATCTTAAAAGGAAGGCAGGGATGCAAATGCAATGAATGAATTAAACCTAACGCTTTGCTGGTTTTCAGAATGGCCCACACCACCATACCAGAAAGCATGCTTCACCAATGCACATTAAAAAAGGAAGAGAATCCTTACCAGAAGCTCCACCCCGAAAAATATGCCCGACAGAGATCTTTCTTGTATTAAGGGTCCTCTAAAGCGAACTATTCCAGGGTATTTCTCTTCTCCTGATCTCAGCTGCACTTTCACTGGGGAACCGACATCGATGTGGAGGCCCTTACGCAGCCTGCTTCTGCTTTTAAATATACTGTATCTTTCCTCGCAATTGGTGATTGCCAATAGCAGCTCGGCTCGCTTTTCATCTATATCAACGAGCTCTTTATCGTCAACGTACAGGACCACGTGGGGCTGTTCCAAAATCTTGATTCCTATTTGTAGCTTCTTGCTTTTGGACGAAGGGTTGTTCCTGATGTGGCCACCAGAAGACCTGTCTTGAATAAACTGACCAATACTACCTTTAGGTATTTTTAATAGCTTTTGACTCTGCTTGTCTATAATGCTACATTCCTGGAGAAGTAAATAAAATATACGCTCTTCCCAATATGGAGAGCTCGCTTTTTCTTGACTCCACAAACCCGAAGTCATTGTGGTTCAAGCTTTGTGTAAAGGCGAAAAAGAAGAATCTTCAAAAGAAACTTAAGTTGGCAGCATAACTGTAAATGAGAGTGTGTTTTTTTAAAGTTCCAGCTCCAATGACGTAATTTTCTTCATTCATGTCCTACTGAGCTAAATCCAGAATAGATGACCTGAAGCATAAAAATAAAGGGAGAACATCATTAGAAGCTAAAGAAGTGAAGGACAGGAAAACAAGACACTTTTGAAAGCAAGCATCATCACTGATTTTTTTATAGACCTATGACAACATCCAGCTGGCAAGAATGAGGACATGTTTAGATAGCTACAAAGGTCATGCTGAAGAATTTCTCAGCACAATAAAATTGACTACCTAACAGATTCATCATCACACCACCGCCACCACAAAACTGACCATGTAGATTTTATCTTTGCAATCCTTATTAATATCTTGAACTGAGTGGACAGCTGCTCTCACAAATAAGAGTCTCCCCCCCTCTCTTTTAGTTGAATTTTCTTGGGGGGGGGGGAATAAAGATAAGGCAAGTGTTTTGTTAATCTCACAATCTGACTATAGAGAAAACCAAAGTTTTACCTTTAGTGTGGGGAAAGCTACAGCTCACTGCTAACTTTGTTGTTCGGTATGACTTATGCAGAGAGACTCCATATGATCATAAGGTTTGCATATACGTATTTAAGCTCACTAAGTTCAGACATGAACCACTTCAGCCTGAAGTTTCAGTCTGAGCAAACCAGTGACACCACCGTGGCTTATGGTGCAGAAACAGATTCTAGTCCACAATGGCTTCTGCCACAACACAGCTGCCGTTTTTGTGCAGGCTAGCTCACAATGAAGCACGACAGAACGTAATAGTCTTTATTCCAGAACAGGCATGATCGTGATTCCCCTATAAATCTCTTTCTGTTATATAATAGTGTGACCTCAGTGTTTGTTTTCTGATTGCAAAAGACGAACCCAAGAACTCTGGCTGAAGTAATGTAAGTACTATAAGAAGAAATATTTTTATAATAGATATAGACATGCACACACAAAAACCTCCACTGTTCTATAGAGTAGACATTTTAAAAGGACAAAACCACAGAACCTTTGTCTGTTTTTAAGTATAAGATATCCAGAGAAAAGTTAACAGCTTTCTAAGTGAAAAATCTTAAACCTGCCTAGAAGTGAACAAGACCCTTTTTCTGTTTCATCACCCTTAAGAAAACAAATGAAAAATGATGTGTGTTTGGCTGGCATAAATACATACATACGCACATATATTTCATATATGTATTATATGTTTATCATACATATATGATACACATATGGACAAATACAGACACACAGACACACATACACATATACACACACAAACTTTAGGCACGTTTGTCAACCTGCCCAGCACAAAAGGTGGCTCCCTAAATGAGAAAGTGAAACCAGAAAGGGGAGGAGGGAGAAACCTTTCTCTGAAATTGTACACAAAGCATATCCCAAACATTTTAAGGAGCTCCCTCTATGTCTCAAACACAGAAAGGTGTGTGCTTAGGTAATGGATAAGCCAACCTAAAGGAAAAGAGTCAATGAGGAGGGGGAGCAGCTGCCAGCACCATCATAACAATGTGAAGAGTAGCTTTGCCAACTAATTGCAAAAAGGCGAAAATTCAACATGAAACAAAGGACAGCAAACAGTGGCCTTTGTAGTGAAAAAGGATAAAACAATTGACTGTTTGATCAGAGGCTGCAGAACAATTTCACAATCTAACCTCAAGCAACCACATGACTAAGTTGCAGAATTATTCATTGGAAACTTCACCAGAAGTTTGAATTTGAATATAGCTTAAAAAAAAAAAACTTCCTGGGATCCTCAAGCTGGGAAGGTTTTGGAGAAACAACAGGTTAAGATCTTATGGGACTTTTAAGATCAGACAGCAATCTTTGTTCCTTACATGCCTGATATAGAACAGTTACTGACAAGAAGAAGGCCTGATTGATTGACATTGCTATTCTGGGTCATGCTAGGACAGAGGAAAACCCATTGGGGAAAAACCTTACAAATATTGGGACATGCAGTTTGCAGTTGAATGCTTATGGAAAAAGAAATTTGTCATTATACCAATTATGATTAGAGCCCTCGGAGTGATACTTAAAGGACTTCCTAGCATGGTTGGATGATAGATAAGTGAAATAGGTATCAACAGGCAGAGAGGTAAGATAGAGAAGATGGGTGGGTGGGC